GTAACAGCTGTTTCTCACAGATACCTGGTGCAGTTTTAGTTTCAAAATTCTTGGTTCAAATAGGAATTTTTGGAAGCAGTGACACAGATTCTGCCTGATTCGCAGTAACTGTTCTGCAAGGTCTGTCAGTCTGCACTCCGAGAAAGTAACTTACTGTGTTTTAGGGTACAAGGCTTGTCACCAGCACAGTATCCTTTGAGGCAGTGGTGTCCAAACCCAGGCCTCGAGGGCCGGTGTCCTGCAGGTTTTAGAGGTGTCCTTGATCCATCACAGCTAATTTAAATGTCATTGGGGGGGTCATAGACAGACAGAGAGCTGGATTGCATTTGTATGGAGGTGTGGTCTCACTCCTGAAATTCAGATAAATTATCTCCAAAAAATATGGCCTTAGTTTCAAGGTCTGAATAGTGACATCATTATTGTAACACTGCATTTGTTTTTGGTTTTTTGGCAACTAGGGAGCAAAACCTGAAGACTTCTGATCTCACATATCTGTGTGAAAATGGCCCCAACCTCGATAAACACCCCTCTACACCCCGTCATTCATTTCCGGTCAAACTGAATAAAACACTGAAGTTCATTAACTGTATTCTAAGTGTCAGAAAGAAAGATTGTCCAGGATATGCTCATTGACCTCATATGTGAACATGAGGATTCACAGGTAGCCAATGCAGTTATAAGTTTGCTGCTATTAAATATGTTTCATTGCTATGAAAACATGTCAGGCAAAACTGCAATATGATGGGAATTTTTAAGACCACCTTCTTAACCACTCTCTGCTTCCAGCCTATATAAAAGGTCGCTGATATATAGTTATACGAATGTAAGTATGGCAGGACTTTGCTAAAACAATAAAGTGGATGATAGTCTTCTTCATTTAAAACTCTACTACTGTATATGTAGCTTGACTCATACTGAGGCCTTTAAATCATGAATTATGGAGCCTTATTCATGTCATGTTCCTGGGTCTGTTGACCCAGCGTTTTAAGTTTTAGTTTATTTGGATGTT